ACAGAGTGCGCAAGAACTGGTTTAGAATCGTTAACAGTGAGCAAGAACAGCAGTGGGATTTTCGATAGCCGTTAGAGATGGAAAAACGCCGATGAGACTCCGATAAACATCGATATAAGCGATGTTTCGAAAACATCGATGTCTGGCCGCCTCTAGCCAGCAGGCAAATTACAAAATTTCAAAATTTTGTGGTGTACGTTTGTCGTGGTTGTCTCTGTTCCTCTGCGTTTCGCATTACACTCTAACCAAACTTAAACTCATCAAAAGTAAGTACAGCCCGTCCTAAGACCCCCCTGAAGCCAGGGAAAAGCAATAAAACCCTGTAAAGAACGAAAAGTCGGGATTTTCGGTGCAAGTGATTTCATAACCTCGAAAAGAAAAAATTGCAAGTAGACACGCGCATGAACGCAAAAGGGCTGAGCACTTTTTGGGTAACAAAAAGTGGATTTGTTATCAGCAAACGGGGAGTGTTTGACACAATAATTAATTGATAAACCAAAAATCGAAGGGGAAATTCTGCCGGTCAGTCATCACACATACTATCGCACACACACCAATGCAGGCACAGTTCATTGGCAGCAGCTGCCGGCGAAAAAAAAAGAGAACGAAGCGGAAAAAAACTATGGAAAAGGCCTGGCGAATTTCTGTTACGTAACACTCGCAGTGCTCTCGTTTCAATTGTTTTGATCAATTCCGTTCGTTATCGCCATGTTGCCATCCACTATCCACCTCGCTCTATAAACATTTTCTCTCGACGGTTCTTTATCACTGTTTGTTTGTGGTCATGTGAGGTGCACTTTTAGTTGTAGGTGGTACCTAACGCCGTGACGTCACCTGGAAAATCAATACCCCTTGCTGTGACACCTATTCGTGCTGTTCAGATTGCTGGCCCCATCGATTTCCCTGGTGTTATGCAACTGGCGAAAAAAGGGGTGCATGCCCTCCCACTTTATAACCTCCTCGTCAAGGTCACCAGCGAGATGCTGATTCATTTTTCACCGGGAAACCCATCGCCCAGCATTTTCTTTATCTGGTGACCAGGTTATATCACCTGACATCCGAATAAGTTCATCACATTTCTAGTTTGGCTGCTGGCCATAACGACTTTTGTCTGAGCTTTTCATAATTTTCCGCCTTTATTGCCTTGAGTACCTTTCATTGTGCATACACAGAAAACAAAATTGAAAGAATGTTCAATCTATATTTTCAGTTTATAATATCAATGTTATGTTTATAAAAAAGAGTGAAAGCAATATATTCAGAAGAGCTAGATTTTGTATGTGTAGTTTTACAAGATCAAAAGTAGAATTTATATCGATTTAGCTTTATTTAGGAGCTATAGTATTCTATTTGGCCGCCGCTATGCTCAATAATTGGACGGCGACTGTGGCTCTCATTCCTGACGTCACGCAAATAGAAACAGCGAAGAAGAGACCAAACGAGAGGCTGAAAATGTGCAGTTAGCTTCTGTGTCAATGATCGCTTGCCTAGCAAACTGACCACCAATTAATGCAAACAAGTACGGAACGTAAACATAGAAGCACATACCCATGGCCAGATTAATAGAAGCGGTCTTCAAAACCAATCTAGCAGCCACTTAAGAACAACATATTTACTTTTTTGTATATTGGTCAATCATTTAAAAGTTTAGCACCTTTGCAAAGGTATTTTCATTGCGATTAGAAGTTTATTTTATTTTAATTTCATCCTTCAAGACTTAACACTTGTTTAAATATATAAGACTCAGATTTTAAGATAGCAATAATCACTTTGATGTGAGAAAGCGAATATAAGTTGAAATCATGTGAACAAAATCATCACTTCTTTGTAAAATCGTCGGCTATTCATCAGAATAAAACCACAGTCGTTAATAAATAGAGTAAACAAAAAATGTACAGAATAGACCGTTACGCCTTCAAAATAAAAGCTTAATATACTCTTAATGGAAATCTAGATCATACCTTTAATTATACAAAACTTTTTTAAATTTAGCTTCAATCTTTTTAGTCTTTATCCATGATTTTAACTGTCTAATAAAAACAAGAAGATCTCTAACATTTATTTGTCACACTGCATCACCGATCAATGTGCTCTTCTTGTGTCTACTTTTCGCCTTCAATTTCTTTTTCCCCAGACGTGCATTGACCCCTCTCTCGTTGGTAACTCAGTCCCTCAGGCTGCCTTGAACACTAATTTAAATTGATTTATTTATTTTTGCCGCACAAAATTGACATTTAGCCAAAGTGAAAAGAGGAAATGGTCTGCGAAATTCTTTGCCCGTGTTGATGCTGTTTTTTCGCTACCCTTAGTTGTAGTTTTCACTTTTCTATAGCGGCCGATAGAGAACCTCGAATTCAAATCAAATATAAAGTAATTATCATCATGTTGCTGATAAGATTAAACCAGCCTCGTCCATAAAACTTATCGTTCGTTACACGCAATAATTGACCTGGGCAGTGAAATGATTTCGCAATAAATGCCCCCATCGTCACGACTATCGATTATTCACCAACTAATTGGCGGCGCGTTTTAATCCACTTCATTCCAGATGGCTCCTCCATCATACAGCGATTTGGGCAAACAGGCTCGCGATGTCTTCAGCAAAGGCTACAACTTCGGCCTGTGGAAGCTCGATCTGAAGACCAAGACCTCGTCTGGCATCGAGTTCAACACAGCCGGACACTCCAACCAGGAGTCTGGCAAGGTCTTTGGCTCCCTGGAGACCAAGTACAAGGTCAAGGACTATGGCCTGACCCTGACTGAGAAGTGGAACACAGACAACACGCTGTTCACCGAGGTCGCTGTCCAGGATCAGCTGCTCGAGGGTCTGAAGCTGTCCCTGGAGGGCAACTTTGCCCCCCAGTCTGGGTAAGACATTTATTAAAACATATGGGCAATTCTTTTCGTTTAAACAAGATAAAGGGAAAGGGGTCAGAGTTTATATTATTTCCACTATAAAATAGATTTTAATAATTCATTTTAGAAATATAATACAGTCGCTAAAAATATATATCAACCAATTTGCGAGACAAGAATTTGAATTGTATGAAATAATTTAACACCTTAATATTTAATATTAATTAAACACAAAATCAAGCGTGATATTCACGCGGTTGGAAATTTACTATGAAATCAATGTACTCCATATTTTATAAGTTTTCTTGCTGTATTTGGTCGAAGTCGCACAAAGAAATTTTAAAGAAACTTATCCAGCATTCTAAATTGTTTACTTGGTCAAATCACTGATTATTATTTTCTTGCATCTTCAACAGCAACAAGAACGGCAAGTTCAAGGTGGCTTACGGCCATGAGAACGTCAAGGCCGATTCGGACGTGAACATTGATCTGAAGGGCCCCTTGATCAATGCCTCTGCCGTGCTCGGCTACCAGGGATGGTTGGCCGGCTACCAGACCGCATTTGACACACAACAGTCCAAGCTGACCACCAACAACTTTGCCCTTGGCTACACCACCAAGGACTTTGTCTTGCACACAGCTGTGTAAGTATTACTACTTAGCCACTTGGTTTAAATAAATCGGAATTAATATCTTCGTTTTTTCCGACCAGCAACGACGGCCAGGAATTCAGCGGCTCCATCTTCCAACGCACTTCGGACAAGCTGGATGTGGGTGTACAGCTGTCGTGGGCCAGCGGTACCAGCAACACCAAGTTCGCCATCGGCGCTAAATATCAGCTTGATGACGATGCCAGCGTGCGCGCCAAGGTCAACAACGCCAGCCAGGTTGGTCTGGGCTACCAGCAGAAGCTGCGCGACGGCGTCACCCTGACCCTGTCCACCCTGGTCGATGGCAAGAACTTCAATGCCGGCGGCCACAAGATCGGTGTTGGTCTGGAGCTGGAGGCCTAAGTCGATGATTTCCCCGCCAGTCGAGGAATCCTTGAACGTTGTCTAACATCCCCACACGCCCAACAACAAAAACAACAACAGCAAGACAAGTGCAGTAACAACAAGAACAAAAAATAAAAGAGTAAAGATATTCTTCGAAAATAACAACACACAGTCAAATATAAAGGGAATCTGCACATCTTAACGAATACTTTGGATCAGTTATCACCCGGCCATCACCAGATCCGCCCACTCCCTGCCCCAGACACCCGAATCTGCAGAAGAGACACTGCCAACAAACGATGCAAGGGGTGGGTTGGTGAATGGGCTGGTCGGCCAGTTCGTCGTCGTTGGATGTAGCTTTGATTAGTGCATTGAAATTAGCAAATTTGTTGTTGGCAAAAGTACAGTAAAATACATTTACCTATTAAAAAGAAAACAAAATTGAAAAGGAATATTATGGCTCAAAAAGCATTGCATTTTTCAGTTGCCAGGGCATTGGGGATAGCCCCACACAACAACTGGCGGCGAAACTAGGACACACACAACCCCAAACCATATTTCTATTAACAATCTTTATCTTTTCGTTGTGCATTTATCTGAGAAATAAATCGAGAAGAAAGCAATGTCATGATTGCAGCGTTGATGCAGTATGGCGAAGGGATCGGGTATGGGCCTAAAAGCTAAATTCGATTGTAAAATAAGATATTGGGTTAGAATGCAACTTTAGTTAGTTATTTGTGATGTTTAATGTTACACAAGTTTATTATAAAAGCATTGTAATTATTTTTAAAGAAAGTCGATGCTCGTACAAACTGGATGGTGATCGTGGATGTAAAACTAGAAAAAATATTAGACCTTTTGAACCTGTAGTAATTGGCAATATGCAGTTCAAAGCAAAAAATTGGTATAGCTATACAAAAACTTTGTTTAAAGATGTTTACAAAGTTTACAAACATTTTTGATGTTGCTTAATATTTCATTAACAAGTGTTTTAAAGGAGGTACTTTTTTTGGGTGGTCTTCCCATTTTATCGAATAAACAAAGTTGATGAGCAAAAAAGATCCTTAGAATCTAGATAAAATGCATTTTCTTAAAAATCTTAAGAAAATAATCGGGTAAGCTCAGGAAACCATGCATTTAGTTTCAAAGGCCCACTAGGCTGTACAAAACTGGAAAGTGGTCAGACAGCATTAGGTACAAATTTTCGGCTAATCAAGGTTGTTAAAGCGTAGTGTAAAAAATTCCGAATTCAGTCGGGCCTTATATACCATACCACCTCTTCATTTCGCCCACAATGCCTCCACCGCCGGTATATCCCGACCTGGGCAAGCTGGCCCGCGATCTCTTCAAGCGCGGCTACCATCCGGGCATCTGGCAGATCGACTGCAAGACGCTGACCAATTCGGGCATCGAGTTCTTCACCACAGGATTCGCCAGCCAAGACAACAGCAAGGTGTCCGGCTCCCTGCAGAGCAAGTACAAAATCGAGGACCAGGGCCTAACCCTCACGGAGCGATGGAACACGGACAACTGGCTCTTCGGCGAGATAATGCAGCGGGACAAGCTGGCCGAGGGTCTGATGCTAGCCCTCGAGGCCAAGCTTCAGCCGGGAACAAAGTACGTAGGGGCGTTATATTAAATTTATTGCAATCTTTACAACTTACATAGGTAACATAGATATAGAGTTGGTTTCTTTATTAACTCTAGAAAGGTCTATCTTCCAAATCGAACAACTATTTTAGAAGTTATTCAGAAATTGAGTTCACCTATTGGTGTTAGCTTTTTGCAAGTGGCGTCATCTGTTAAGAGCATAATGGTTTTGAAATTGGAAAATAGAGTAACTAGTATTTGATAATCGTAGCACTCCACTGATGGCTTAAAAAATATATTTAATTTAATTTATCAACAGCGAGGCGGATGGCAAGTTCAAGTTGGGCTTTGCTCAGGAGAATTTCAATTTCCTGGCCGACATTGGACTAAACTCGGAGCCGTTACTTAACTGTTCTCTGGTTTTGGGTCACAAGGAGTTCCTGGGCGGCGTGGGCGCAGAGTTCGACATCGGGAACACCGAATTCAAAGGCTGGAAGGTTGCCCTTGGCTGGACGAACGAAACGGCCACCGTCCATGGCGAGCTGTAAGTTCCAAAGAGGTTTGGTTCAAGAGCTTTTCTTATTCTTTTCGTCCTCCTTCCAGGAAAAATGGTGACACCTGGCTGGCCTCACTATTTTACAAGGCGAGCGAGAAGATCGATGTTGGTGCCGAGGTCACCAAAGGCGCCGGCGGTCAAGCTGGTGCCGAAAATCCAGAGGCCGAGGAGGGTGGCGGCGGAGATGTTATCGTCAGCCTGGGCATGATTTACCACCTCGAGGAAGACGCCCTCATCCGCGCCAAGATCAACAACGTAGTGGAGCTGGGTCTGGGATATGAGCAGAAGCTGCGTGAGGGCATCACTGCCTCCATATCCGCGGTGCTGGACTGCAACAACATCAAGGACGGTAACCACCGGTTCGGTGTGGGCGTGGCCCTGCAGTGCTGAGAGCTAAGACGCCAGTCAATCAACGATTTTCCTTTCCAAATTGGCTTATCTTTATTTAAATGACAAATATATTTAGTTTTTCATCATAGCAGAGGTAATAGTTCTTTTAAGAATATAGAATGGAATAATATAGACGAATGTGGGGAATTAAAGAATAATCAACAGGCTTATTTGTTATATTCAAAATGTTTTAAAATCTTTATACCCTTGCAGAGGGTATTATAATTTTGGTCAAAAGTGTGCAACGCAGTGAAGGAGACATCTCCGACCCTATAAAGTATATATATTCTTGATCAGGATCACCTCCTGAGTTGATATAGCCATGTCCGTCTGTCCGTCTGTCCGTCTGTCCGTCTGTCCGTCTGTCCGTCTGTCTGTTTCTACGCAAACTAGTCTCTCAGTTTTAAAGCTATCGGATTGAAACTTTGCACACACCCTTCTTTCCTTTGCACGCAGTATATAAGTCGGAACGGCCGGGATCGGCCGACTATATCCTATAGCTGCCATATAACTGATTGATCGGAAATGCCATAACTTCCGTGTTTGTAAAGTTAGGAAGTTGGGATTTTCTATGGGTTTTATATTTGGCCAATCAATCCGACCTACCAAATTTCATAAGGATCGGCCGACTATATCCTATAGCTGCCATATAACTGATTGATCGGAAATGCCATAACTTTGGTGTTTGTAAAGTTAGAAAGTTGGGATTTTCTATGGGTTTTATATTTGGCCAATCAATCCGACCTACCAAATTTCATAAGGATCGGCCGACTATATCCTATAGCTGCCATATAACTGATTGATCGGAAATGCCATAACTTTGGTGTTTGTTAAGTTAGGAAGTTGGGATTTTCTATGGATTTTATTTTTGGCCAATCAATCCGACCTACCAAATTTCATAAGGATCGGCCAACTATATCCTATAGCTGCCATATAACTAATTGATCGGAAATGCCATAACTTTGGTGTTTGTAAAGTTAGGAAGTTGGGATTTTCTATGGATTTTATTTTTGGCCAATCAATCCGACCTATCAAATTTCATAAGGATCGGCCGACTATATCCTATAGCTGCCATATAACTGAACGATTGGAAATGCCATAACTTTGTTGTTGTTAAAGTTAGGAAGTTCGGATTTTTTATGAGTATTAAGAATGCATCATATGAATAATTTTGGAGAATGTAATTTACAGAGTATTCTGCAAGGGTATATCAACTTCGGCTCCGCCCGAAGTTAGCTTTCCTTTCTTGTTTTTTCTAATTTTATTGAAAAATCAAAAGCGAAAAAGGATATAAGAGTATTTAAATCTTAAAACCCCGAAAAAAATTAATGTATAGTAAATTTTTTTAAATCGAAAATAAACGAATTGCATTTACAGATGAAATATATTATATTTGCTTTTCAACGCATTTAAATGTTTGATGATATAGTAACGTAATATGATGTTCTCCACCAACAAAAATGTAATCGAAGGAGCTGATTAGTTCGTTTTAAAATTATTGAAAATATTTAAAATCAAATCCTTTGTTAAAATGTAACATTTATATACCAAAAGGGAACAGCATAAGTTGGTGCTGCATACTAGTGAAATATCTTCTCATATAAAAGTTTTTAAGTTGAGCTAATAAGTTAGTGAAAGTGTGTTGAAAGCTAATTAAGGTTGTGTTATATTAATATTATAACCAAAAACTATCAAGTTTTTCAAATAAAAAAACCTTTAAAAAAGATTGTCAAAAAATGTTTGTTTAAACAATCTGTAACCAACGAATTTTAAGTTTTTGTTTGAAAGTCAAGTTCTTATTTACATATCTTCCTTGGCGCGGTCCTCTTAAGGATAAGGAAGTGAAAAGGGTGAAGGGTGAGTCGGAAATTTCGTTTTCTTGTACACAAATCAGAGGCCCTTTGAACTTGCTTTCATATATTTAACGGTCTCTAAATTCCAAGTGCTAAAATAATTTGAAACTGCACAATGCCGACGAGGGACAGGATTCGTAACTTGTTCAGGAAAAACAAACGGAAACGTTTGCAATCGGAATACGCTCCTGACACTAGTGATGATACCCAGGACAAGAGCAACGAAGATGCATCTAAAAAAGAGAACAATGTGGAGATCTTGCCGCCTACGCCGGAGGAAGGCGAGATGCCCACCTACTTCCATGTGGGGCTCCTGGCGAAGATGTGCCTGGTCCACGGCTACACCATTGGTCGGTGGAAGCTGCAGTCTACCTCGAAGACGGAGCAGGACTTCTACCTGAGCAGCTTCGGCGAGGGCTATCCGACTTTGAACTCCGTTTACGGAGGCTTGGAAGCTTACAAGGAGCAGGGCATCTTTCACGGATCCCTCGCCTGGTTGTCCGACGGGGACTGGCTGTCCGATCTTGGAGCTCGTGGCAATGGTCTGGGCGGTATATGGTCTGCCGTCCTGAAGTCTGTGGTCAGCACGAGTGAAGGGTGAGTCGGAGAAGACTTGGATTCTTATAAAGTAGACCGTTGAAGTCGGTGGCCCTTATTATAACATGCGCTTTATTAAGCACTCGGGGCATTTATGGCCAACCCATTTTTGGAATGCTAAAAATAACATACTATAAATAACAAAATCTTTGCCAAAGATAATATGATCCCAAAACTTACTATATGCTATAAATCACTTTTAGGGGTTTTAACTATAATATTATTGCATACCACTTACGAAATTTCGATTATAAATAAATGTACAACATTTTTATATGTATAGTTGCTATCTATGTTTTTTTGTCTAAGCGATTATTTTTCTTTTTGAAATTGCTAAGAATTAAAAAAGATTTTAGCTATTTGAAATAAATGTATCTATAAAACTAATTTCATATTCTTAACTAGAGACCCAGAAAACAATCCTGTATCAAGATGCATAAAAAAAGGTCCTAGGCACTTTTAAAATATTACATTACACATTATAACTTTTTTATTAAAATTCCGATAATAAAATGCCATACGTTTTCTATAATGACTTTAAATATTAGAGGTCTATTTATGCGAATATATTTTAAAATTGAAAAGGAGTTTGGCGATGCTAAATTAGTCTTGAGAGGAAATTGACAGGAATTCAAATTTTGTAAACTAGTTGCTTTCTTACAGATGTGACTATCAATGCAAATTAAAATGTGGTTTCGAACGTAGGCCCGGAAAGGTGGAGCTGTATGTTCCTATTTACAAGGAGCCACTCCTTATGGGCTACATTCTGGTTGAGCCTGCCGACCACATTTTGTTAGGTTACCGCACGGTATTCAATGTTCAAGACAAGGACTTCATTATGAACGCTTTCTGCGCGGGCTATAACAATGATTCAACAGAAGTGGGACTGAAACTGTAGGTGGTGATTCCCGGCTGATTTAACTAACTTACATCCCAATATTTCAGTGAGAATTTCGAGACCGTTCGAGGATCGATATTTCAGCGCATTGGAGAAAAGTGGGCCTTGGCTTTGAAAGCGAACCTGTACGGAAACGTGACTCCTAAGAGTATCACCGTTGGGGGCCAGTACGAGTGGGAACCGGGCACATTGCTGAAGGCCAAAGTTCGAGGGGATACTCGCCTTGGGTTTATATTTCAACGGAAAATTCGTGAGGATATTGAAGTTTTGTTTCACGTCGGCTTTGAAGGAAATGATCCGATTAATGGTAAACATAAATTCGGCACTTCCTGGTATTTTAATCTGTAGACGGTAAATTATAAAGCGTTTCTGCTTATTTAAAAATAATATTGTTCTGTACGTTCTTAATTTTATATTATTTTAATCATTAACTTGTTTTTATTATTATAAGTTTTTTCAGCAGAAGCATGTCTGTTTACATTTGGAATAAACTAGTAGCTGTTGATTAAAGTTTCAAAGCGATTTATTTCTACTAAAATTTCAAATTGTGTTTGAATTATTTGGGTCTTATATTTTTTTACAATGCAAAAATTGAAGCAACGAATTCTAAATTGGTTTCGCCGAAACAGAAAGCGTAACCGCCCTGCCCCAGAAGATACAAGTAAGGATGACAAAGGGGATAAGAAGGATACAGCTGAAGAGGACCTGAAGGAGATCGATGTAGAGATACCATTACCTCCGGGAGAGGGCGAAATGCCCTCCTACTTCCACGTGGGCTCTGCGGCCAAGGACTGCCTCATCACCGGATATAAACTGGGCGCCTGGCAGCTGCAGTGCACCACAAAGACGAACCAGGATTTCTACTTGAGCACCTTCGGCGAAGGCTATCCGACCATTGATTCCGTCTTTGGGGGTGTGGAGGCTCTCAAGGAGAGCGGTAATTGGAGTGTCTCCCTCGGCTGGTTGACCACCAATGAATATGTGTCGGAGGTCGGAGTGCGTGCCAAGGGCCTCGGCAGTCAGTGGTACGCCCTGCTCAAGTCGATGATTGGCACGAAGGACGAGTAAGTAATATCTATATCAGGTTTTGATAAGATAAGGCGTATTTTAGAGCTCTTCCTTATAAATAAGGGTAATAAGGGTAAATTATTATTTTGTATTTTATTCCTTATTTTCAAGAAGTTTGTTAAAAACTTATATTTCTATTTTCAGACCTAAAATATTTAGCTAACCCATCTTCGCTTTCTTGTTGTGTATCCTAAATTATATATGATATAGATATATCAAAGACTTATTACCATATTACATTTATCTCTCTTAATTCCTTTATAGAGTGACATTTAAAAGCAAACTGAAGTGTGGCTTTGAGCGTAATCCTGTGAAAGTGGAAGTGGTGGTGCCCCTCTACAACGAACCTCTTCTTTTGGGCTACGTAGTTGTAGCTCCATTCGAAAATTGGCTGCTGGGATATCGAGCAAGTTACAACATGGATGATAAGGGATTCGATAAGCACGCTTTGTGCTTGGGCTACAACAATGGGACGACCGAAATTGGCCTTAAACTGTAGGATCTGGTTGACTAAATTCAGGATATAAAAAATCTTATATTTAAAATTTATATTTAACTTGCAGAGAAAATTTTCAGGACTTGCGAGGATCTATCTTTCAACGGATAGGCGAACGGTGGGCCTTTGCTATCAAATCGAACCTCTATAATTCAGAAAATGTCAAACAGTTCGCAATTGGCGTTCAGTATGACTTTCAGAATGGATCATTGCTAAAGGCCAAGCTGCGGCATGACTCAAGAATAGGGTTTGTCTATCAATCCAAACTTGGTGAAAATGTTGACATCATGTATCATGCTGCTTTTGATGGCGTGGATCCGATTGGTGGGAATCATAAGATTGGCGTTGCTTGGCACTTCCAATGTTAGAAGTACATTTAATTTTATTTTTATAACATAAAATCGTTGTCTTGTTGTTATATCAAAATATAAATCGATAGTATCACAACTAACATATTTTTATTGTATGTAATTGAAGGTATTATTGCCCAAATGATGGGGATTTTTAACTTGTGCATATTTGCTTAAAAATATAATTTCAAACATTAAAATAAAAAAATGGTGTTCTTTTATAAGAACTATTTTTAATTAGGATTCTTGAGAGAAAGTCGTTTGTAAGTCTCTGAAAATAAAAACATCAAATAAAAAACAATTATAGCGGTAGACGTTTGTTTTTTCTGTGAGTGTACTATGAAATGAATCAGGTATTTACTGATATTGCTTATCTCAAGGATAATAGTCATTGTTACGAACCAAGATGTCTGTCGAAGAATGTTTAACTTACTTTTATTTTAAAATTTTGAATCTGTTGTAAGCATTTTGTGTGATATGCCAGGATTTAACGGCTCAGGACTTAAGAGAATACCCCAAATATATGGTGTTGTACTGCAGTATTGCCGCTTAGAATGGATTTTTGACGCAGCAAGCGATGGTCACACTGAATACGTTGACAGCTCTATTCATCGATTATTCTGTCTCTTTTTCGTCATAAAAAAATAGTTCATCTGTTCAGACGTGTTTAGTTATCGTGATGAAAGCAGGCAAAAAGTAGCATATTCCGAGTGTTTTTGTGCGAACGTAGTTAGTTCTTTGCGTTATCCAGTCGTTTTACTTTGTTATCGTAGCGAAAACGGCCTTTAAAACGCGCAAATTGAAGTCAAAAGAGCAAGTTCTCGGAGGCCAAAGTAGGTAAGAAATAAAAATGGCGTCACATACCAGCACACACACACTAACACTAATCATCACATTTCCACCTTTTCGTACCCTTTGTTTCGAAATCAGGGGCTGAAATAGCAAAAACACAAAGGTAAGTTCAGGTAAAACAAGTCAAAGGCCACCTTTAGAAAAGAAGCGAGAGAGGGAGTACCATGTCCGAGGCCATGAGTGCCCCGCCGCCACTGATTCCGCAGCTGCAGGAGATGCAGCAGCAGCAACAGCAACAGCAGCAACAGGGGGGTAATCCCGCCGCTCTGGCCCAGCAATGGAGTAACTACGCCTGGTATGCCAACCAAAACGTCGCCTACCAGCAGCAATATCAACAGTACTACCAGTACTATATGCGCTACCAGCAGCAACAACAGCAACAGCAGGTAACCTCGACGGTCAGCGCGTCGAATGCGCCGCCCGGCTTCAGCAATGCGCTGGCGGCACCGCCGCCCTTACCCTCGGGTCCGCCGCCTCCTCCTCCGCCCAAATGCGGCCAGCCAACTGGGCAAAACAAGCAGCAACAACTACAGCAGCAGCAGCAAAAGAATTTCGGGGGAATACGTTTTAATTTGAATTTAAACCAAAAGCGTTTGGCAAGTGCACCCAATCCCCTACAACAGCAGCAGCAACTTCAACAGCAGCAACAGCAACATCAGCAACAGCAGCATCAGCAACAGCAGCATCAACAGCAACAACAGGTTATGCAATTGTACAACAATAACAACAACAACAACAGCAACAAAAAGAAGCGCAAGCGTAACAACAAAAACAAAAGCTTTGAGCAAACCGCATATAGCAATCCGTTTTCCAATCAACCACAAGCTACACCCATAGCACCACCACCGCCCATTATTAGCGCCAGCGAAGTGTGCGTGCCGGGCACTCCGGATTTAAGCAAGCCACCACCACCATTGCCTTTGGCCATAGTGGCTCCCACAGAGAATCCCCAACAGCAACATCAACAGCAGCAGACCGCTTCTCCTGCTCCAGCGCAGACTTCCACCTTTAAGCGCCCTAACAGTTATCAAATGGCCTCTAACGACTCTTGGCCTGATGCCCTCAATCAATATGTGGCACGTTGTTACTCAAAGTGCAACACGGACCTCGACAAGGATCAGATTGACATATGCCTGAAGGGCAAAATTATAGCGGCGGCCAATCGCAATGAGCTGTGGACGCGGGACTGGGACAACGAGCCCATGCCCACGGTGCACAGCGAGCGGGATGGCATCGATGTGGTGCTGAGCAACGTGACTCCCCCGCAGCCGCAGCGAAGCAACTACTTCCAGAAAAAGCTGGAGCAGGAGAGGGAGCGGGAGCGAGACCACGAGCCGGAGAAGGCTCCAACCAAGGCCACCCCGGGTATCGTAAATCAGTTCAAGCAGAAGGTCAATCAGTTCAACAAGTCCTCATCCAGCTACGGTTCCCATCACCACTCTTCGTCGTCCAGGTACTCCAGGAGTCGTTCGCGGTAAGTTTCGGGGTCTCTCTTTGACAAGTTGAACATAAAACCTAAACCTGTTTTTTTTTTACCCCTTACAGTTCGCACTCATCCTCTAACTCGTTGAAGTACTCGAGCAAAAAGCGGTACTCGCGGTCGCGCTCACGTTCGCGTTCCCGCTCGCGGTCCCCTCGCTCCCGATCGTGCTCCCGCAGTAGCGATGCCAGCAGTCCCCCGGCGCGTAAAGTTATCCGCAAATCGGGCTCGAACGAATCCCTAAATTTCATACCACTCACCGCGAATCTATCCCGCAAACAGCAGAAAATGCTGATGAAGAAGGGCAAGCGAGCAGCCGCAGCTGCAGCAGCGGCCGCTGGCTCCGGAGGTAACTCCGGCCAGGCAAAAAAGAAGCCTCATTTCTACTCCAACCAGTCGTCCATTGGCGGAGCCGTTGATGATGACACAGCGCGCTTGCAACAGCGTGCGGCACGATTCTCACAGCAGAGCTCCAGCTCCGCCAAGAAATCTGTCGTCGCCATTGCAAGCTCACCGTTTGGTCTCACCACGGCCAAGAACAAGAGGAAGATGATGCAGCAACAGCAGCACCAACAACATCGCACTTCCTTTTACGAGGACACAGAGGCGGCTGGCGGCTTAGATCTTCTAGATTTGCATATTGTAGGCACTTGTAGGGACCTAGAAAAATCATTTTTGCGTCTCACAAAGGCGCCGTCGCCAATGGAGGTGCGACCTGTCGAGGTGCTAACCCACTCCCTAGTTAATGTGAAGGGAAAATGGCGTGCAAATCAGGATTACCACTATGCGTGTGATCAGCTGAAATCCATCAGACAGGATTTGACTGTAAGTAACCTCATTTTGGTGTAAAAAAAGATTGTAACATAATGATTTCCATAGGTCCAGGGTATTCGCGATCAGTTTACGGTGGAGGTCTATGAGACCCACGCTCGCATCGCCATGGAAAAGGGAGACCACGAGGAGTTTAACCAGTGCCAGACGCAACTGAAGATGCTGTACATGGAGATTGGCGGAAAGAGCGCCAATGCGTTGGAGTTCACGGCCTATCGCATACTCTATTACATTTTCACAAAGAATACCTTGGGTAGGTTTGATTTTTCTCTAGTATATGCGATTCAAGTTAACATTACTTTTGCCTTGCAGACATAACCACTGTCCTCCGTTCGATTACGGCTGATCAGCGCGAGAATCCTGTCATTGCGCACGCCCTTCAATTCCGCTCTGCGTGGTCGCTGGGCAACTACTGCAAATTGTTTTCCCTGTACAAGACGGCGCCTCTTATGTCTGGCCACATGATTGAGTGGTTCCTGGAGAGAGAGCGCAAGGCTGCCTTGCGAGTCATTATTAAATCGTAAGTTGAAGATTTCACATTGTTAAAAATCGTCACTTATGATAACACAATTTTTCAGTTATCGTCCCAACATTAGTGTTGACTATATTACCAATATTCTGGCCTTCGAAAGCTCCGAAAAATGCAAAGAATGGCTTGACACCTTCAGTTTGCCCTACGCCGCCAATGGTGCGCAAGTCGATTGTAAAAACGCAGCTGCCGTTGCCATTTGAGGCGAATTCCACAGAAAGTAGATTAGCTACTGAGAAACACTATTTAAATTCGTACCTGATTTCCGAATTTTTCGGATATTAGTGTCCTTTTTCGAAAGCGGATGTGACTCCCCTGGCCCTGTTTAACACAATTTGTACATATTTTTATAGATCGCGATTCCCCTGCGTTTCACAGATAGGATTTGCTTTATTTCCTCTCGCAAGCTTTCGGTTGTCTTGTAAATTCTTCGCTTTAGAACTCCGAAGGTCTACTGTTCTTTGTAGGGATCAACAGTTTTCACAAGGAATCAAGGATACAGAAAACTTCAAAGGAAACATTAACTCTACATCAATTCGAAGCAGAAGAAAAATAAGAACAAAGTCAATAAGAGCACTGGAGTGGTCGCATTTCCGGATGGTTCAACTAAGGATATCACAAAGCTTAAACTTTCAACGATGATGCCATATCCCCGAATTTAATCTTTCACAGCTGTACTGGGATTAGCCGAACTTCTGAAATATCCAGCTTGGATTGGAAAAGGCGTGTTCGATTAATGCCAGACTTCTGAATTTAACATTGGAACCCAGGATCAACAATTGCGGAAATCCTCTACATAGTTTGTTTTGGCTTCAAAAATCTTAGTCGCTATTCAGGAATATTCATAAGTGAATATGAAATTGGATAACATTGGCTTTGATAACATGTTCGTCACTTCAACGTTGGTCTACATCTACATCACTTGTTTAAGAAAGCAGCCTTCTTTATGTACATTTTTAACCAAACAAATCCAGCAACGTCGTATGAATTCAACCAAAACTTAACCTAAAACACAAAGTGCGAGACCTCTTAATGAACATAAATAACTCGAGAACTAAAGTGAATTAATGCCAAAAGAGGTCACGACCGTCTTAAATAACAACTCCATTAAACCTGTACACCCGCAAAACTAACACGAAATAATACACATGCAGACGAACAAGAACAGATGCGATCACCAAACTCCCAGAGCACAAGTGCTGCAGTGCGCTGAACACTTTCTTCGATTCGTTGTGATTATTTACTCATTTTAACGCCCTTTGATCACTTCATTTTTTGAACTAGTTTTAAGGTTTAGGCTTAATGTTTGTTGTCTTATTTAAATTATTGAAAAGGATTATACTAATGTTCTGTCTCTCTATTGTATACCTGTATATATACAACCATCAAATCCACCACCACCAAGAACCACAACAAGAACGAGCCTGCATGAAAATTCTTCGGATGTTCAAAGTCAAGTCACCATTTCGGATTATGGCAACGTCAACCTGGTCTTCCCCGTCACCACTCATCCGTCAAAAGGGAGTAAAAAGTCGTCAGATATTCTCGACATTTGTAAGCTCTTCCAATTTTAAATCGTCTTACTAAAGGAAATTGTATACAGATTTTGATTATATGGGGTAGTACATAAGTAATTGGCTAAGATCCTGTATTCAGTGCTTTTTTAAATGAGGGAGTAAAAAGAAACTATATATTCTAATATTATATAGTTAATTGCAGTAAATAGACTAGGATTATAGGTATCTGCTTAGGTTAAGTTTACCTGTTATATTTATTTTTAATTTTCTTGAATGTTGGAAAAATAATGGAAAAGAACTCAAGAATTTCAAATGCATCTTCAATTATTCATGCAAAATATGGGAGTCCGTTTGCATGGATAGTGAGAGTTATAATCGCGCTTTAAAAAATAAACAGAACAAAACAAAACAAAGCAACTGGTGTTTTTCCTTGGCTGAGTTTTCCCTTTCAGTAGAAGGTCGTCGTCACACCAATCCTCTTCCAGTTGCACCCAAAATAGGGAGCTTTATCCAGGACACGCGCCATTCCGAGCTTGTTGGAGTGTGGGAGCCAAGCTTTTCAACAACGCATAACGGATGCTGGCGGAGGTTCAGCCGCTATTTAAGGATGCTGCGTTGCGGCCTTAGCTTCAGTCAACGCGCGGCGTTCGAGTTCTGTGGATCGCGCTTAAAACTTAAATTGTTCGGACCAAACAAAGATAATCAAAAGAAGCTAGAAAATCAAAAGAATTCTAAAACCCATTTATGAGTGAAGTGGCCCAACGAAAAGTAGATGAAAACATTGTTTATTTATTTACATTATAGATGTGTGTGATTACCATTTACAAATCGATTTAATCAAATAAGGTTATTTCAGAGGTAAAATATAATTCAAAACAGGTTATAGATGGTAAATAATGCAGTATATATTGTACTAATTTCTTAAATTATTAACATAACTACCTGTTTTTTATGGAAAATTAATTTTTTGAGTGCATACATAAATCATTTTGTTTCAATGATCCCAATAACGGCTAAAATTGAATTAAACACAATTTTTCTAACAATTCAATCCTAAAGATTTATTACAAAAAATATTTGAAAATTCTTTTTAATTTAAATTTAAAATATTGTTTTCTAACCCCGATTAAAAACCGAGGATTTTGCAACGCAGGATTTCCGACCCATTAAAGTATAATTAGCTGCCATGCGAAAGATCGGAACATTAATGAATGTAGAGCTTGCAATAATTTTGTTTCCTCTGTTTAGCTTCTGCTATATATTACAAAAAATATATTATTAAATTCAACTATAATATATACACACCAGTCTTAAAATGAAGTTTATAAAACCTTTTTGGCGAGTAGTGCAACCATTTTGTGAACGAAATTTGCATACAAATTCTTTAGCACCAACATTTTGGCAACATTTTCCTGCTAAATAAAATTTAACCATGCGAGATTTTTTTTTGACTAGTGCATACAAATAATAATAATTAAACCTCTGTCTGCCATTCGTAATAAGTGTTTGCTCAAAAATAACTGGCTGTGCAGTAACATTTTCGACATCAATTTTTGATCAAAATCCATCCGTTTAAAAACGAGTTGAATTAAATTTTCTGAGCTGTACCAGCTTAATTACTGTGATCTGTAATATCAGATGCTACTTCCTTATATTGATATTTCATTTAAATCATTTTTGGGAAATTTAACTTTTAGAAAGGCTTTAACATTAAGTTAAGACCTCAATACTTTTGAAAAAAGTCGTAGTTACTAACTTTGCAATAAATAAAAGTTTTTCCGTTTAAGTGATATTAAATGTGGTAAATTAAATGCGGTTGCTTCTGTAGTAAATTTATTAATGCGTCCAAAATTTTAAAGTGAAGTAAACTTGAAAAAATAGAAATAGCCAGAGCATGGGAAAATGGAGAAACTGATCAAAATTTTAAATAATTAATGCCACCATATCTTTAATAAAAAGTATATCAATATATTTGAGACTTACAATGGGAATTTTTTTTAACTTATCGAATACAATAAAAGACTTTATTTATAAATAAATATATTTCCGAATCCAGAATGCAGTTTAAAGTATTCACCATCTCCGGTTTTATAATTGAAATGTTATAGCAATAAAGGGAAATCTCCTAATCTGGGGCTTCAATTATTATATAAATTGAATAATTTCAATAAACGTCAGAAAACTAATCAAAATGAATCACTTTACATTTGACGAAAATCACTTTAAGATAAGCCACTAAGAATTGATTAACAAATTGTTGGTCCAAAGTAATCAGTCAATCCTAAGGAGAAAGCTAATCTAATTCATGTAGTTATTTGATCGAAATGTTCAAAATTTGCAAATGAGTAAGCTTGTAATAAAAGAAAAACCTTAAGCAGTAATAGTTATTTATAGTTATTTGATTAAAATGTTCAAAATTTGCAAATGAATTAAGCTTGTAATGAAATAAATAACTTGAGCTTGGAAAAATCGAGAAAATAAGCAAGTTCGATTGCTCAGATCTTAAAATAATTTAATGTTTTGGGCAGTGATGGTCGTATGAAGGTTTACGGAAAATATTTATACAAAAATGTATAATAATTGTGATTCACAGCGTTTTTTTTCCTAAACTTATTTAATATAAAAGAAGTATCCAATAGGCGAATTATGTATAAATACATTTTTTTCTGAATCCAAGAAACAGTTTGCTGTACTCATTACTTCTATTATTATTTTGATTACCTAGTTGTGTTTTCCCAGGCTTATCCAATATAGGGAACTTTTTCAATCTGTATAATGTATAATTTCCATAAACGTCAGACAATTAATCATAGCGTTTTATTGAAATTCGGTGAAAATCACAATGTCAACTAAGAATCGATTAACTCATTGTTGGACCCACAATAATCCGTCATGCCGAAGGAGAAAGCAAGCAAGTTAGTTTGCTTATATTTTAAAATAATTTATGTAAATATATCTTTAAAAAATTGTAGGCAAATAACAGTCATGGAAGAAGGCTTATGGAAAATATTTAAACAAAAATTAATAACAAATACTTTGTTCGAATTTCGTATGCAAATGCAATATAATTGTGATTCACAATTTTAATTTTTCCAATATATAAGCGATTTATATATAAATCAATTTTTCTGAATCCAGGAAACAGCTTATCGCAATCAATTTTATTTTGATGACCTAACTGAGTTTTCCTAAGCAAATCCGAAACAGGGAACATTACAAATCTGGGACTTTACTTATTATATAAATTTATAATTTCCATATACGTCAGGCAATTAATCATAATGATTTATTTGAAATTCAGCGAAAATCACTTCAAGATTAACACAATACCAACTAAGAATTGATTGACTAATTGTTGGACCACAATAATCAGTCAAGCCTAAGGAACAAGCTACTCTAGTTCATGCAATCAAATGATTAATGTCTCCAAGAGTTGAAAATGAAGTTATCTTGTAATTAAATGAATAACTTGAGCATGGGAAAATGAAAAACAAGCAATTGAAAATAATTAATGGGAATTAATCTTTAATAAATACCCTCAAAGGCCAAACGCCTTTAGACTGAATTCCGAAAATGGATACCCCATTAGGTAATTAAGGTTGTCAAAGATAGGAAAGTTAACTCTTTAGCATGCAATCTACGAAATACGAAAATTTCCAACATAAATTGAAAAACAATTAGCAGTAAAAAATAACATCAAATTAAGTGCCAAGCAAACTTTTCAGGGGAGGCAGAAGGCCAACTTCCTTTGGCGATGTCGCAGCTGCCGATGTCAAACGGTTGACAAGTCCCGTCTTTCTGTCCCATCCACGCTCTGTCAGTTTTCACCATTTCGTTATTAGGAAAATTATAATATGCTGATGCTCGGCAGGCCATTGTGTACTGCAAAGTTGCATAGGCTCTGCCATTGAAAGTCAGCGAGGCGAATAAATCCAAACTGGAAAAACTACTGACTTCTTACTACATTAGCTAATGTTGTCATTTATTTGTTGAGTAAAATGCATTAGGAATATTTCGGGATCAAGTAGCATGCATTTTGAATTAAACGAATTTAGTTTTTTCCATCAGGTAAAATATTTAATATTAAAGGATTTCTTCTTTGATGACTGAATATTGAATATTTGGCGACTTTTCTTTCTTTCATGTCTCATGCACGCCTAAGTCAATTTACATTCAACCAGCCTTTGGATTGAACTTCCATTCCTCACACCACAAATGATACGCATTAAAATACATTATACCGTGTTCGGCATGTTTTCTAATAACAATAAATAAATATTCAATATTGACTATCAAAATGCGAACCGCAGCTGAGGCTGACATCACAAAGGACGACAGGAGTATAAATTTTGAAACATTATGTGTGAATATTTCATACACTTGCACACTTGCCGAGCTGTTTAAGGATGTGAGCATACTTGGTTCTGTTCCGTGGCAATCCTTTTTCAAAGGCATAAAATCCTTCACATGACTATCCCTTTCATATGTAAATCCTTAGCCGGTTAGTCAGCATTTGGGGGAATAAAACTTGTTTACCTTTTCTGAGCAAACCCAGGGATGGCCAAAGGATTTTCTTCACTTTGCGGGTATCTTCAAAAATGATGTGTTATTTGCGGAGGGGCCTTTCATTTCATAAATGTATTATGGTATCTACTGCTCAACTGACTTTGGGATAATTTACAATTTGTATTAGCATAAAATAAATTTTGACCGACGAGCGCAAGATATTATAGAAGCGGATCAATTTCGGAGCTCAGCGTGTATCCAAAAAGTACAAGGTTTAAAAATCGAATACAGAAATTTATGTTAACATGACAGGTTAAGTAATGTTGAGCACCAACGAAGCCAATTTATGTTTTAATAAAATCAAATTGAATTTTCTGTGCGAGAGGAATGCCGAAAATTATAATTTTAGACGGCACATCAATGTAAAACTAAAATAAGTGTAATAAAAATGTTGTGTCAGTCTAGTAAAAAACTTAAGTGTATTGTTAATGCGTGCCGTGAAAAAGTTTTATTGTTGTAATAAAAGCAAATATACTTTTATGACTAATTATTTAATTACCCTTAGACGTAATTGTCATTTAAAATTCTACACCCTATTTGGATTTTTCCAATTGTTATACAAATTACTTGTGCCTTCGCCAAGCCTAATGGCAATTTAGGAAAATACTCTAATTATTGCCCTCACGTACGCATTATTGTCTTCAGCGCTTTTTAAGTGTCTCCAAATATCCTCCCAAATCCGACCCTCATTCTAGTCATGATTCGCACTTGACCACAAGTCTAGGATTTGGTTGAGGCTTTCCTAGCACCTGCGTGGGTGGAAAACCACATGCGCATTGTCCTGGCTTTGTTGTGCCGCCCATTTAAATGGTTTTTCTTAACAGATTTGCTGGTTTTCAGTTTCCTT